TTTATATTATGCCGAGGTAAACTAATTACTTATGCGTCATGTTTATTGAATAGTTTAAATAATTATTGACTTATTATGATGTATCATTTCCACTAGTTATGTGATAAGCATCCAGATATTCTTACCACGGATGTTTGGTTTACCATCGGATTTACATATGATGCAAGTAAACAAAAGTATTGTCTACTAAAAGTTGAATATACGGATGGATTATGTCTGGCGTGCACAAATCAATTAGAACTTAAGATAAATCTATTCTGTTATCATTGTAAAGCACCACGACCTGTTGATTGGACTACAGGCAACAAGTCATTGGATTCATTTATTATGGAATCATGGAGTAATGAGGATGATACCTATATACAATGGATAGAGTATTCTCTATTGACAGACGTACAACAGATGAAGTCATTACACCATGGATGCACACATATAGCGAAATGGTTAGAACCGACGGCAAATGAATGGACAAAAGTGGCACTCAAGCAAATGGGGGATACTCAGTCACTTGATTTCCATCAGGTAATAGTAAGGTAGATTATTTCATGCGTAAAATAATGCAAATAGTATTAATCTGCCACATCAATTGATGATTGTTGTAATGATTGTATTGTTTATTCAAATAGCTAACTCAGGAATACCCGACAATAACACCCGACAATGTTTTGATTATTGGGATCACTCAGGAGCCATCTACTTGGGAATATTATTTAGTTTTCTACTGTGACATACATGCAATATTGGACAAAATTATACCGAGTTACAAAAATGTACAGTATATGCAGTATACTGACTTTTGTGAACTCGAAGAGATTGGATCTGGTGGCTATGGAACAGTTTATACTGCTAAACATGAAAGGTTTTCAGTTGAAAAGAATATGCCAGAAACTGTAGTACTTAAACGCTTTAAGAACTATGATGAAACGCCAGAATTATTTATTTCCGAGGTAAGCATTTTTGATATTATTAATTAAAGTAATATTTAATCTGACTTCTTATTTATTAATAGCTCAGAAATCATGCCAAGTGTGGCATGAATGAGTACTTCCTTCGACTTTATGGAGTCACACAAGACCCAGAAACAAAAGAGTACTTGATTGTTATGCAATATGCTAACAATGGTAGTCTTTTGTCTTATTTGGAACAAAATGTTAACAAATTGACATGGAAGATGAAATTACTGCATGTGTATTACATTGCAAGTTATCTGGAAAACATTCATGATGTGGGATTAGTACATTGTGATCTTCATGGCGGAAACATAGTTTTGCATGACAATACGCATGAGACAGAATCATTTATTTGCGATCTTGGTCTCTCACAATCAGTAAATTCACGTGAGTCAAAATCAACCATTCGAGGCGTTTTGCCCTTTATTGCACCGGAAGTTTTTAATACTTGCAAATTCACGAGGAATTCAGACATATATTCTTTTGGTATTATTATGTATTTGATGGCACTGGCGAACCACCCTTCAGAGATAGACAGTTTGATAGAGGTTTAATATGCGATATTATGGGCGGACTACGACCAACGATGCCTGATTCAGCACCTGAGGAATACAAAAAACTTGCTGAATGGTGTTGTGAAGCTGATCCTGACAAACGTCCAGATGCACAAACAATTCGGTCTGATATTATCGACCTTATTGACAACGTAGACGATGATAATTCTAACAACAATGTATGGAATACCATATATCACAATAATGTAAAACCCTTATCACGTCTCGAAAAGGAGGGTAAATACTCTTACCTACTGGAGATTTACCCAAACCGCGAAACAGTTACGATCTGGATTCAGCTGCAGGTATGACTACAGAACTTGGTTACGTGTTAAAGTCAATTTACAATATTGATCTCATCCATTGCTTTATAATTTAGTGACTCAAAATTTTGAATGAAACGAGTTTTATACAATATTATACTTTTGTCCGGTTTTGGACTTATTATTATCTTTTATTGCATACACCCTTTAAATGCATATATCAGAGCTTTAAATATCTTCGTAAGTGTTTTCTGTCCCTAGCAGTAAAAGCTCGTGCAAAGCGTCTTTTGAGAGCGTTTTTACAGATTCTTTTAATATATTACAGTATTCTAAATGCATATCACGTGATGTATTATATAATGCAATTTTCGTGATCAGTAATTTGTCGCAATAGTGTTTTCTCAAGTTCTGGAAATTTTACGTTTCTGGAGGAGTTAACCTATGTTTTATGGACAGTTTAAATAGGACGTTTTGTATCGGAAATTGTGTACGCGAAGCTCTTGTTCATTGGAAATCTGTCTTTGAAACAATTTATTGTTATAGGAAAATATGCGCACAAAGAAGTTAGCCCGACGTATGACCGTAACAATCCAAGTTTGGGAAACTCCACAACATGGCGTCACGATTGCTAGATATTCTAATAGTATTATCTCAATATAATAAATCGAGTTCTTCCCAACATTTTTCAATTACTTGTCTATAGAAACAGTATTAACTGATCAGGTCACAATCTACAAATAGTACTTTTTCGCAGAACGGAAGTACCAATACAACATGGGTTGCCATCTTATATTCTTAGTTAAAACAATACTGCCAACATTGGGACTAGCAAATTCCTAATTCTTCGCCGGCTTCTTTAAATAGTCTTTTAATGATCTGCAATATTCTCGTCCGTAAAGGTGATAGCCTCGCAAAGTCAACAATGCGGTGCAGCAATCTTGGCTATTCGATGATATACCCGTAGGTCGATCTAAATGACAATCAAATTATATATATACCTGTATTGCTATTAAAGAATGCATACATGCTTCAAATGCCTTGTCCTCACTTAAACACAAATCATACAAGCACTGCGAATACATGTAGGCAAAACGTTCTCTCGGTGATGGTATTGTTGCTTCCACTTTCGACCTGAAATGAGCGAGCGGCGCGTTAGGATTCGGTAACAGTTTGTCCCTAGGGCCGATTGACGGCTGACATTCGTAGAGCATAACTGTGATCCATTTTGGATCGTCCTGACCAATTTTTTTACTAGTTCCGGTGGCACTCGTTGGCTGCCCATATGTATGAACACATCTGACTGTAGACTTAAAAAGAATTTCATATCGAATGCTTCATCAGTGTCGTGTTGTTTGATCGTGTACTAAAAAGCAGAGTAGGCTTAACTTTCGTTCTGTTTCCTTAGCATTTGCACATAGAGATCATACCTTTTTGACAACAAGACTTTAACGAGAACGTCAACTAGCTTGCTCTCATATATTTACAAAGCATTTATTCAGGTATTTCTATGAGAAAAATTATAAGAGCTCGTGATATATATCCAAACACAACATTACAAATACTAATAGTTACCCTTTCCAGATTCTTCCAAACGCCAGTACTACCGACAAAAAGACTTTGCAGCAAGTTTCCAGAGTTCCGCATCTTGCGTATGTTTCCCGAGGGACAGGCAGTCATGTTTTAACGCCATTGGAATCCCATGTACCTAAAGTTGAGTAATCAGTTAAGAAATAATTGTCGATTCCACACCAATTAGGCGGATAACGTACCGTAAAAAGATCAATAGCAGTGTCATAGTCTAATGTCCCTAGCTGTAGTTGTAGAGAATCACAACTATCTGATGCACAAATCCTGTTCATCAACGCCAGCATCATGTAGTCAGCCTAACTCCGATGACAGCTGCAGGAATTCCGAGTACTGTCATATTCAATCTTAATACAAGACTGACTCTTGCAATAGCACCACGAATTAACACGCAATACACGCTTGACTTTGTCTTGGGACTTGATGATTTTGTAGAGGTCGGAAAATGTCGTAATGTATGTGCCGAGTAAAGTGTGTAGGTTCGGGTTCGCTGGTCGGCGAAGTTTCATTGTCAATTTCAGCACCGTCCAGATGATGCGCGCTTCCTGACATTTTTATCATACTCAAACCAATTCCCTCCATGCAGTCTGCCAATAAGGTAGGATTTCCTTGCTCAGCTCTTCGCTATGATCACCTTCATTCGGACATTGGGTAATGGTATTCAGGCCTTGATGGACGCCACCTCATGTAGTGTGCAGACAGGAGTCCCAAAATTTTCTAATATAGAGGAATTCTGAATATTCCGAACATTCCTGAAAGAGCTAATAGTTTCATCCCACTGCTTATCGATGGAATTAAGTAAGCGATGAATTATCGATCCACTCATATCCCTCGAAGATCTATTACCACTCTCTCTGTGATATTGTTGCATAGCCTTGATAGCCCGCAACGGTGCAAGTTTAATGGCATCCAACAACAGAAGTATGCCAACTACATATGCAGGCACTGTCCGTTCATATCTACTGTTGCGAAAGAATGTTTGATTTGGCCCATTCCTAATATCTGGCCGAGATGCAGATAACGCATTCACTGTTCTTGGTTAAAATCATTTCAACGGTTTGTTCAATACCGCGGATCAAAGAAGCATTTTTAGTATATCATCATCTGCTCGTGATCCACCGCCATTCTACTGTTTCTTTAATCGATATTAAATATCGCTGCATTCTTTTCTAAAAGCAATGGCTATATCAATCACCTATCTGTTGCCAAGCGTATTTATGCAATGTTTTGAGCATTCGAGGAAAGGCGAAGACATCGTCTCTGCACTGGATAGACCGAACTACCCATTCCCGACACCAGCGAGTCTCGATATCTAAAGTAAGTTATTCAGTTGCCAATCTCATCTTCTGGACTTTTAATGCCGCCGTTCATTTGTCGATCACCTGATTTAATTTCAAGACGGGCTATAAATACTGAATATCAATAGATAGTATAAATTTGGTTAGCACCATGCAGCTTTGATTATATCGATTGTTCAAAAAGCGGTTTTCGTCGTCGTATTCACCAAGTATTCGCGCAAATGTGAGTCACCAATAAACACATTTTATTTACTGCAACAGCCCGTGAACCGTGCTACTTTGTCGGTATCAAACTGTCAAAAATGGTTTCCGGGATAAGTGTACGCGAACGCTCTCAAACGTGAGTCACCAATAAAACACACTGCCGTGCATTGATTTGTTATTAACGTTAAATTTAGCCTCAATTATCTCACCACAAAAAGCGTTTATTTACCGTACAGCCATGCTATCTAGTAAGTGTTAATTGTTCAAAAATGGGTTTTATCGTATATGCCAACTATTTGGATCGTAAACGCGAGCATACAATTCGAAACCAAGCCCACTCCTTCACATTGTCAGTTATCAGAGTAAGACACCAATGGAAAGAATCAATATATTCATCATTAACAGTCCCACAATAAGCTCTCAAAAATTCAAATAAAAGGGACGATTACGTTTGTTCCCATCTTAAATCTCCTTTGCTATTACTCTAAAACATCTCATCACGGTTGAACAAAATAATTAGAATTCTTACGGCTATAATGTACGGAACTTCTGTTACAGAAAACAAAAGCGTTCAAAAAACTCTGCCATCTCAAAAAATATGAGATATCAACTTTACAAATTCACCGCTTAAAAATTTAATAGAGGGAGATAATACGTCATCTGAAGTCACTTCAAGAGAACCGAGTTACACACTACCGATGCAAGTTTATCGAAAAATTAATTCCAAATATACAATAACGTTAATTCCCCTTAATAGTCGCTTAATAACGGGCATTGTTAAATCGGAAAATTTATTGATCCATGCCAACAGAATTTTATTTATTTAGAAAAGTGAGTTGTTAGCATTTCATTTACGACAAATTAGTCATCCTCTTGTAATACAATTAACAGTGTATCTAGTGATATTCTTCAAACAACAAAGTAGACACTCGCATTGACATGAATACTAAGAAGTTGTTGTTGTTGTTGTTGTTGTTGTTGTTGTTGTTGTTGTTGTTGTTGTCATTGGCCATAATAGTAATGTTCATTGAACAACAACATAATACAAGAAAAGATGTGGAGGCAGATGAATTCTCCCAACTAATGTCGAACGTTACCTCAGCGTCTTTTGTCAATTCTTCAATTATAAAGTATGTTGGTGTTCGGATCCGACGATTAATCCAAGATTTGCCTTTCGATGCAATTCCTCCACGACGGCCTTATCAACATTTGCGCAGCGTACACACACGTTCACGCTTCTGAAAATAATTGATGCTTATAACAAATCGTTTGAATAAACATTAATCCATAATAGTAGTAGTCAATTGCTGTAGATTAATACACTACCCTACCATAAATCACCGGATTTTTTGTCACGTGGATCAAATGATAATTTTACACAAGGGGGTTTTTTC